TTCCTTGCTTCCTGGCAAGCCCCTTCCTTGCTTCCAGGCAAGCCCCTTCCTTGTTTCCAGGCAAGCCCCTTCCTTGCTTCCTGGCAAGCTCCTTCCTTGCTTTCTGGCAAGCCCCTTCCTTGCTTCCAGGCAAGCCCCTTCCTTGCTTCCAGGCACGTCCCTTCCTTGCTTCCAGGCAAGCCCCTTCCTTGCTTCCAGGCAAGCCCCATCCTTGCTTCCTGGCAAGATTCTTCCTTGCTTCCTGGCAAGCCCCTTCCTTGCTTCCTGGCAAGATCCTTCCTTGCTTCCTGGCAAGATCCTTCCTTGCTTCCTGGCAAGATCCTTCCTTGCTTCCTGGCAAGCCCCTTCCTTGCTTCCTGGCAAGATTCTTCCTTGTTTCCTGGCAAGCCCCTTCTTGCTTCCTGGCAAGCCCCTTCCTTGCTTTCTGGCAAGATCCTTCCTTGCTTCCTGGCAAAATCCTTCCTTGCTTCCTGGCAAGATTCTTCCTTGCTTCCTGGCAAGCCCATTCCTTGCTTCCTGGCAAGATTCTTCCTTGCTTCCTGGCAAGCCCCTTCCTTGCTTCCAGGCAAGCCCCTTCCTTGCTTCCTGGCAAGCCCCTTCCTTGCTTCCTGGCAAGATCCTTCCTTGCTTCCTGGCAAGATCCTTCCTTGCTTCCTGGCAAGCCCCTTCCTTGCTTCCAGGCAAGCCCCTTCCTTGCTTCCTGGCAAGCCCCTTCCTTGGTTCCTGGCAAGATCCTTCCTTGCTTCCTGGCAAGCCCCTTCCTTGCTTCCTGGCAAGCCCCTTCCTTGGTTCCTGGCAAGATCCTTCCTTGGTTCCTGGCAAGATCCTTCCTTGCTTCCTGGCAAGCCCCTTCCTTGCTTCCAGGCAAGCCCCTTCCTTGCTTCCTGGCAAGCCCCTTCCTTGGTTCCTGGCAAGATCCTTCCTTGCTTCCTGGCAAGCCCCTTCCTTGCTTCCTGACAAGCCCCTTCCTTGCTTCCAGGCAAGCCCCTTCCTTGCTTTCAGGCACGCCCCTTCCTTGCTTCCTGGCAAGCCCCTTCCTTGCTTCCAGGCAAGCCCCTTCCTTGCTTCCTTTCAAGCCGCTTCCTTGCTTAAAAAAAAGGTGTCCCTCGCCGACAGAAGATAAACTGAAGAAATTTTAATTTTTGTTCTCCTTTCGCATAGCATATCTCCAATTTTCTCTGAAAGCAGAATGATTGAAGCAATAACCAGTTTTTAATGCTTTGTTGAGCGCGAAATGAGGGAACGATTATACGTGCATTTAAGAGGAGGTACCACTCAATTTAAATAAAGCAACGTGCTTGTTATGAATTCTTGGATGAGAAATCGTCGGTTTTGATCGACCTTCGCCAACCACTGAACTATGTATTCAACTGAAAAATCGCTGAAACTGGGTGTTCTCCCCAGCTGATTTCTCCCACTAAAAGTTGAAAAAAAAGTTAATGTAAATTCTTAATCATATTCTCCCATCTTTTCTCTTTTGAATTCAGTAAAGAAAACAGTGTCACAACAGAAAATCTCACGCAATTCGCTTCTCAAATCGAACTCCCCTAAAATATCATGGTTTTCTGCTGGATTCCCATGAAATTTCAGCGAAACAAGCGGCTAATAACATAATTTATTTAATGAGACTGTCAGATTCAAAAGGAATTAGGTTTCTGTCTTATATAGGGAAAAAGTTATTAGCCTCTAAAAAGCATCTGGTCGTGTTGGGTCGGGTCGTGTTGGGTGGCTCATTTGTCAAACTAACTGCCAGTAAGACGTCGTTCCGCTCGCTACACTCACTAGCTCGTAATAATGCTTCTTCGTGCCTACTTGAATAACGAACGAAATAAGATGGGACTTCAATCTGTCCCTCTAAAATTCAGCAATCACACTTCTTCATTAGTCTCTCCTTGATCGTAGCAGGGAAGCGACGACGGTGATCCGCCACGAGGAGAAGAAGGTACTGTTTCTGCTCCTCGTTCTTGGTCAGTGACGCATTGAAGGTCGGAAAGGGGGAAACAGCTTTTTCTGCTGTGTCATTCATGACCTTCAAAGAACCCGCAGACTTCTTCATTTCCAGGTACGTCTTGTTCTTCTCCCATGTTTCGGGGTCTTCATTCGAGAAGGAAGATTTATCCTTCCCCTTCCTCTTCTCAGCAATGACACTAAACATCTTCAGCATCCTCTTAGTCACGAACTCCTCCAGTTCGACTCCGATCTTTGAGACACCTCGCAATCGACGGGGGCACCCTGGTTATTCCCACTCAAGGTTGGCCATCATCTTGCACTTTCTCGCAATGTCCACTTTCTCATCGATGAACGCCAATCCAGCCAGGTGCTCCGCCAGATACCAGAGATGGCACGCTAAGGTGATGGCAGCAGCATTCGCGATCTCTCTGTCCGGATACGCTCAAAGGTTTGGAGGAAGTCCAAGTCATTGCAAAGGGCTTGCACACCATGTGGAGCCTTGTTCCAGAACTGGATGTAAATCAAGGCGACGAAAAGCGAAAGTAGGTTCTGCTTCAGGTGAAAGAACTGACATGTGAAGTACGTCGTCCCACGTCGGAAGCCGGGCAGTTGAGAAAAATTCGAGGGGACACCATACTAGCCACACACACAACTTTGTGTTGTGCTGTCTCTTGAGGCGGAAGAATGTGTCGTGGGGCCTGCTGTAATTTAGTAAATGATTCAATACCACTTGTTTCGTGGTTTCATTCTATATAGACTGCTTGTTGAGGCGGGTACTCAAACAGGAGGAGGCTGAAATTAATCCTTAAGCATCCACTGCCACGAGTGTCCTCGCAACACGAAACAAGCCTAGTACGCTAGGCTCATGTTGTTTTGAAGGATCGATGGCGGAGTGGATAAGGGACAGGTTGAGCCTTTGTAATACGATGTTTCTACAGAAGGGCTTGTGATGACGCGCCACGTAAATATATGCGCGAAAACGAGGTGATTATTTTTTTTAATTTGTTTATTTTTCTAATACACTAAATTTACCACTCATCATTACAGTGTGGGAGGAGCTATAGCATAGTAGAAGGAGTCAAGAGGAAAAGCAGGGACAATAACTGTTTTGTCAGCAGTCTGGTCCTTAAGATAAGATAAGATTTCGTTCGGATTTTTAACCCCGGAGGGTTAGCCACCCAGGATAACCCAAGAAAGTCAGTGCGTCATCGAGGACTGTCTAACTTATTTCCATTGGGGTCCTTAATCTTGTCCCCCAGGATGCGACCCACACCAGTCGACTAACACCCAGGTACCTATTTGCTGCTAGGTGAACAGGACAACAGGTGTAAGGAAACGTGTCGAAATGTTTCCACCCGCCGGGAATCGAACCCGGGCCCTCCGTGTGTGAAGCGGGAGCTTTAGCCACCAGGCCACCTGGCCATAATATGTCTTATAATGACGCTATTATTACTAATAAGCTTCATCTGCTTATAACATTTACTAAAAAATCATAGCAGACATAAGATAAATAAGATAAAAGCATAATAAAGACGACCAAAATAATATTATTTGGCATATTATAACGGAGGGTGGGAGGGAGGGCGCGGTCAATGATTTACTTAAGCTCCTGACCATGAAGGGAAAGTTTTCTCTCTTCTGGCTGGTCTCTTACTATAGAAAACGGTATAATACACAGGGAAAACTATGATTTTTTTAATTTTTTTATTTAATAAGAGTGCGCACGTTTGCCCTAAATATCTAGAAAGTAAGATTTTGGCCTATTGCTTGATGAGTCTCCATTATTAATAATTAGATTGAAATGATTTCACAGAAAACATTAAACAAAGTGTGTTTCAAATTCCAATACTTAATGGATACACATCTAGAATATCTCAAATATTTTTTATTTTGTGTGGGGGGAAGGGGTAAAAGGCAGATATTTCAGCTTGTGTCAAAAGCGTACCAAACGTATTTTTTTCGGCATGAAGACAAGGTATATTACATTATTTTGTCCATTGGATTGTAGGGTTAGACTTGCTCTATCAGGCGAATGTGTCCGCAGAGCCACTCGCAGTGCCACTACGAAGATTAGTGCTGCCAAGCGTCATACTCGGTAAATATTTTTTTTCTCATTTGTTTGTTGGCTGATCTTATTGAAACTTTGTCACAGTTCATTAAACAATCGCTTCTAAACATACACAAAAAAGAAACAAAAATCGGACGAGAGAAAAAAAAAAGATATTGACCTCTCCCGAGTGGATAAGGTGACACGTACGTTGTGTTGTTCCTCAGCGGGCAGTGTGTCGTGGGGTCGAACCATGGCCTGCCGCTATTTGGTAAATGATTCAAAACCACTTGCTTCGTGGTTTTATCGATATATACATATACATATATATACATATATATACATATATATATATATATATATATATATATATTATATATATATATATATATATTTTAAATATATATAATATTACATTTCTGTACTGCCTGTTTGAAGAATGAAACATTTGTACAACATTTGGGAATCTTTATTACGTAAAAGTTTCGCAGTCCAGTACAAAGAACAGTGGATGTGGATTTTCACTCCAGTAGCTTGTATTGTGTGTGTGTATTTATATATATATAATATATATATATATAATATATATATATAATATATATATTATATATATATATATATAATATAATATATTGCAAACAAAACGCAGACAGGCGATATTATCTATGCAAGACAAGCCATAGATTTAAGTACATGTAAAATAAGTCATTGAGTCGAGTATAAGGTAATACAGCTGCGAAGATCCTGAAAAATATTTTTAAGCAAGGCGTTTCTTATAGAAAGAAAAAAAATACTATTTTATACAAGGATATAGTGTGCTGAGGACAGCAGTGCTAAATATATGAAAAGTGAGAAGTTTAAAATTAAACTGAGATGTGTTATTTGTGTGAGATGGGTAGAGGTGAGGCAAGGAGAATGAGTAGGTGTGCTCACCTTAACCTTTCCCATGTGAGTGATGGTTAGAAGTAAGTTAAGGAGAGGGGTAGGAGGAGGTGTAGCTCACCTTAACCCTGCCCATGGTAGCCTTGAGCCGCTGCTCTAGCTTAGGCACCGCACAGCGGAGGTGGGCGTTATCTTCCTCCAGCCTGAACTGCCACAATAGCTCGGCACCCTCGTCCTCTATCTACAGTAGTGGAAAGAAGTATGGCAACACCCCTAATTTGTCCAGCAGCAAATAATAAGTTATTAGAAATGTGAAATAAATCAACTGTAAATCCATATACAGTAATAATACAGTTTTACTGGATTTTGTGAGAAAGTTATATTTGTAACTCTAACAGGTACCTTATGCAGTAGTGCTGATTCTAAATAATTTCATATATAATAATTTGGTGCAAAAATCAGTGCTATTCATGCACAGTTGAGGTAACACATGAAAAATACTGGAACAAAATAAGTAAGTGATTGGAGTAATTTAGATGAATATGAATAGGATACATTTGAATGACTATGGGAGAAAACTTTATTTATACTGAATTTCTTAGTCACATAGGTTTAATTATACTAGAATCTTATCCATACTAAAATTAAATATAATATATATAATTATGATAATATTATTTATTAGCATTTACTCACTGACATTAAATGTCTAGGGTGTTGCCATATTCTTCACTATTGTTTAAATATTCCTAAAGTCAATACGCGTTACAAAGATGGAACACTGCAGACCGCGTTACAAAGATGGAACACTGCAGACCGCGTTACAAAGATGGAACACTGCAGACCGCGTTACAAAGATGGAACACTGCAGACCACCTTATAGGTACTGAATCCTGAGGACCCTCAGGGCTGGTACCTCACTTAGTTTCATTTATTGAGGATGCTCTAATAACGAGACAGGAGGAGCGTGTTAAAGGTTCTTACCTCAGTTTTTATGTTACTGCAATTGTATATTTTTACTGATTTACCTTCTCTATTAAATTTTTGCATCATATTTTAATATTTCTCCCAGTCCTCGTCTTCCACATGGATCTGTACAGAGTACTTTTACATAGAATTTCTTAGAGTGGAACTTTTATGGGCAACTGAGACAAACTGGTCTATTTACTATTGCCCATTAATTGATTATTATTACTAATCATGTCTCATAATAGCATATTTAAAATAACATATTTAACATGTTCGCCATTATTATTCGCCATCATAACATATATAACATCTTCGTAAATCAATTAGTACATAAATAAAGTTGTACATAAGTAGTACATTACTGAACTTAACATACCTGAAACGCAAGTTCTTGCCCTTGCTAAACATTTCTGTTAAATTCTGGATTCCAATAACCAATATTAAACATTCTAAGACTTTTGAAGTACCGTATTTCTATCAGAACTGTTTAATGTTTCTAAATGTTATAATGTGGCCTGGTGGCTAAAGCTCCCGCTTCACACACCGAGGGCCCGGGTTCGATTCCCGGCGGGTGGAAACATTTCGACACGTTTCCTTACACCTGTTGTCCTGTTCACCTAGCAGCAAATAGGTACCTGGGTGTTAGTCGACTGGTGTGGGTCGCATCCTGGGGGACAAGATTAAGGACCCCAATGGAAATAAGTTAGACAGTCCTCGATGACGCACTGACTTTCTTGGGTTATCCTGGGTGGCTAACCCTCCGGGGTTAAAAATCCGAACGAAATCTTATCTTATCTTAACAAAATATTCACTGTTTCTTTTTTAGCTAGTGTACTTTATTTTCTCCTGATTGTCTTGCGAATCAGCTTTGATAATTTCACGGTCGTCTTCTCCAGAAGGGACCAATACGCAAGTCAAAACATAAACATGTGAAGGAAAAACGCGCTATTTTTCACACAATGTGTTATGTCCTATTGTATCTGGTCATCACATCCTTGTAATCAAGATAACCGCGACGTAAACTTTCTTGTACATTTAAACAAGTGTTTGACCCTTCCGACAAGGCTGTGTATTCGTGAGGTGTGTCTGTCGACCAGGTTAACTGAGACTCAAGAGTCGCTGTTGGATTTGCATATTTAATTAATGTCATATGAAATTCTTTTAAAAACCAATGTTGATAACAAATGCATCATTGAGATAATATATAAATGACGAACTTCGCCATAAACCTTGGTTAAGAAGTCTGTTGCTGTATTAAGCTTGTACAGCGCAGTAGTATTTGAGAGACTGTGTTGTGTGGAGTATAGCTGGTGATTTTTACTAGTGAATTATAAGATAGAAATGGTTATAACTATGATCATAATTTTTAAAGAAGTGGACCGGTAAGCCAGCGGAAGGCCTCGGTCAGATGGCCAAAAACTCCAAGGGCGGGTCATCATCTGACTAAGACCCGCGTCAGGAAACACTTGTCCTGTTTTCTGACGAACCTTACCTAACCTAACAGAATTATTAAATGTATTTGTTCTGAAGAAAGCTCCTTGGGAAAACTTTCCATCAGAGATTACTCTATCATTCTGCAAATTTAAGATAAATGTTGAGATTCAAGTATGTTACAAGTTAGTAAATTTTTAAATCGTTACTTGACTCAGATTTTTTGCCTAGGAACTTAGGGAAGTGTACATTATCGTCCCGCTGTATGGTAAGCCTTAAAACTTATTAAAAAAAATAATGTTTTAAAATGATCTCATATCTGCTGCCCCTCTATAAACCTGCACATCCTGAAGTCTACCAATCAAGCTTTTATCCACCAGTACATAGTCCAAAAAATAGTCCGACAAAGAAAGGCCCCTGTACGAAATTAGGGCATGAATAGCTGACCAAGAGACTGAATCCGCTTGGTCGTTACCTCGAGCATCCACGTGTCCTGACACCCAGCAATAAACGGCATCGTTATGTTTACTAGAACTGTGACTTAACTAAAGGTGTATACCGTACGTAGGACGATGGGATGAGGGAAATTTCTGGATACCTTGTAACGCACTACAGGAGTCCGAAACAACTATGAATGACGGAGTGGACATCGATGCTCTGTTCATGATGGCTATGAGAACTGCCTACAACTCGGCTGTTAAAATACTGGTCAAGTCAAATAACCTCGGATGATTTTGTCAGGAAAAACTGCTCCACAGTTACTGTTCAGTTGCTGAGGAAATCCTTCTGTGTCAGATAATGCTGGAAGCATTTTTCGATAAGAATAGTATTGAACAAGCTACTACAACCACATGCCATCCATCATCAAAAGGATCTCTTAGTACCAAACTAAGTAGGCTCTTGTATAACCTGTTCAAACCTAATCATGATGTTTAATAGGAATTTTAAAGTCCCAGTAGCGGCTGTCAAACGTCATGTTAGGGAAGACAAGCCATTGTCTAAGATGGCTGCTGGTGCCCTTCAGGGAGGATGGGAAGTAATTTCAAGTTGATGACGCTGTGTATGCCAGAAATTTTGGGAATGGTGAACCTTGAGGTATTAGGTGTTAAGAATTATTAAATGCATATCGAGATATTTTATAATATATGAAAAAGGCATACAAATAAACTTATGCCAAGGTTTAGGAGTGAGGGAGAGCAAACACTGATCCCAGCAGTACCAGAAGTTGTAAGGAGTGAGTTGATAATTCCTGGTGAGTATAGAAACTGGGCACGTTTATGGTCAGAGAAACTGCTCACAATAGGTAACAGGGACAATAAACTTAAGGATCAGGTCAGTGCGGAGGAAGACCCTCCTGGGAGGGTTGATAATGTCAACAGTAGTGTTAGAGGAGAGTATTGCACCTCAGGACAACGCCAAACCTCCATATCTCAGGCGTTCCTGAAGAGTGGTCAAACCTCCAGACAGGTTGGATTTATAAGTTAGTTCTGATAAGCTAATCATTATATAGAATGGTATAATTTGTTTTGATGATATAATCTAATTTAGGAGAGAAGGACTGTAAGCTGTTTGAGCAGTGAGAGAATTAAATCCTGTTGGGAATACTGTTTACGTTCGAGCGTCTGTAGATGTTGTGGTGTCGAGTGAGCGTGAGGGATCGGGTGGCTTCAAGAGGGTACACTATTACTGTTATTCTGTCTGAATTTCCCTTACAACCGTAGTAGATCTGTTTTTCCTACATATGTTATGCCTATTTCCTATTTCTTCTGCATGCCTCCTCAAACGAGGAAAATAATTTGTCTCTTCTACTTTGTCTTTTCTGGCACTGGATTCTGACTATAGTTTTCAGGATCTTCTGCTAATGAAATGTAGGTTCTTACATTGGAGATCCTGTTTAAAGTTTACTTCACCTACTTGTTTATTGCTCTCAGTTATAGATTCCAAATTACGTAAAAAAGGAGGATTTATTGGATAGGATACAGAGAAGAGATTCCAAATACGTACCATCACAGAAGCAAATCTTTTAATAACTCAAAGCACTTGGCCTATTTCTCTCAGGTAACAAACACTACGAGATATTTTATGGCTCTGATGCACTCAGACATGGAGAACTCTTTGAAGTGCTGAACGAATCCATAACCCGAATCAATGGAACGAAACTGCAAAGCAGAAGTTGTAACACGAATGTACGCAAATATTTTTTGCGAACAGCAGTATAGTCATATGGAATAGACCTTCCGTTAATGCTGCAATTGATGAAGAACCATCTGGACAAGCACTTTTCTAATATAAGATTTAACTAGGAACAACCTGCCCTAGTGAGAGAGGGGAGCGAGATATTGCCTAGTACACTCACGTATTCATTCAATCACTCACTCACTAAGCCCACACTAAACCCCACAGATTAATTAATAAAAAAATGCAGGAGATTGAACAATCTGAAGTTCTGGTGCGGCAGCTAAGCTGCTGCACCAGAACTTTCAGCTCACAATGTGCAATCGAATCAACAATAGCAGTAGTGACATAAGCGGAGGGTTGTGATAGTAATAAAAGAACTAGTAGTAATCAGAAGTAGAACTGGAACATCCCGCTCTGAGTGGCAATGGAGTAACACTTGAAATTCAGATAAGAAAACTAATGTACCAGAGTATATGTAGCCCTTGTTTTTCCATCGAGTTTCGTCTCTCCTGTGAAATTCATGCCTTTTTTGAATATGGTATGATATATTTTTCTTCTATTTTCGAATAAGCAGAAATAGATATGCAGAGAGCCTTCTGCATTTCTATCTTGGACTCGAGCGCCTAGATAATATACAATGGTTAGTGATCTAGACAGAAGCAGAGAGATCTTAACAGAAAGCCATGGTGGGGATCCTCTATTAAGTGTCTTACCCCCCGTCCCCCATGTATTTCCTAGTAAAACCTACCTCAGTCATCCTCTCTGACTAGTTCATCATTCTCCTAATCTAATGTTTTCAAAATATTACTTCAGAAATTTCTGCTTTGTTGAGTGAAGCAGCTTGCTTCTTCTGTCAGCTATCAAACTGGTCTCAGTTATCTCAACCTACGTCTTCACGTTTAAAAATCTATTAATATTAGTTTATCACCTGGATCCCTTTGGTCCCTCTGCAATTTTGTCATTTTTTTTTTTTATTCGCCGGTATTCTCCCGGCCCGGGTCTTTTCCAAGAGTGGTGACCCGGCCTTGGCTCCCTATCTAGGGAGTGTCTCGAGACCTAAGTCTCCCATGGGAGGAGGTACAAGTACCCCTCATCGTTGGGACCAACTGTCCAGTTATACTTCTATCACTTCTGCGTTGTTTCTATCATTTTAATATCTAAATCTAAGATTTAGATATAAATATGATAGAATAATAACACGAACATCTTCTATGGATGTCATCATCAGTTAAATTCAGTTTTTGTATAAAAAAATTCTACTGAAATATATCTACATAAATTAAATAATTACTTATAGCATATTTTGTGGAACATTAACAAAAGTTTACAGTCACGCAGCAACAATTTTAATCCGGTTTTCTGTCGTAATTATTATGCTTAACTTCTTACGTGATTTTAATATTGTTGTTTAATAATACAACAATATCAGAGTTGTTTGCCTGATATGGAACAATGACTCAAACACAATCTTATTATTTCTCACGTGTCATTTTGCAGACGAGCATTTTGTACTAAAATCAGGATTTCAAAAGGTTATGCTCAGTGTATTTTAATGGTTAAAAAAACACAGTATAATTTAAGATTAAGATACACTCGCTCTTCCTAATCTAATACAAGTAACCTTACCTGCTGACCACCTCATTCACTTGTTATTTTATGGGACTGGTTGGATTTAAAGTTCCTGGGCTACTCGAGGGGTCATTAAAATACCTTCACAGAATGCATACTATCATACAAAAATACTTTAATGCATAAATCTGGGATTAAACTAGATTATCAGCATATATACACTAAGAAATACAACTCTCTCAGTGTTAATACACTGGGAGTCAATATATTGGTGTTGCAGAGTCTGTTCTGGCAACTTTTTTTTTTCAATATTAATTCATCTAAATATGAAAAATTAGAAAATTACATAACGTAGTCACCGGTTGTTCTTTAATTCTAGTGTATATAGGATCATAATACGCTCCTTTACTTCAGGAACTATTATTGCTAAGTGTGAATGACATGCTTTACTTTCACTGTCACCTACTTTATTAATCTAAATATCTACTAATATTTTTCACACTAAACTTTCCACTGTTTTTTTCGTGCCATACACTCGTCTTAGTGTGTATATCAATTATTTTGTAAAGATGTAAGTTTGTTATGTTATTCTGGAGAAGCTGATGAATTCTTATATTTTATGTGAATTGAATAGTATAGATAAAATTAATTACTTCATAATAAATTGATTTATTTTATTTGCACCATTCTAAGAGTTCAAGAGCATTGAGGGAGACTCTCAAGCAGACCAGATTATTGTCAAAGTCCAAAACGAGAACACATTAGTACTGTTCTGGAATATAGGGTGTTTTAAAGAGATGGACCCGATTTCCAAGCACACTTCTTTGAAATTGGGTCCATCTCTTTGAAACACCCTGTATATGTATTTAGAGGAAATTTCTGTGATTCCTTTCTTTACCACAAGTGATTATGAATGTAACTTTACTAACATGATCCCGTCTTGGAGAGGCAAAATTAATTGCTTCCCTACCTTAACCCTCTCCATGGTGGCTCTCAGTCGCTTCTCTAGCTTAGGAAGCTCACACCTTAGGTCAGCATTGTCTCGGACCAGTTGCTTGTGCACCTTTGTCAGTTGGTCTAAATTATTTTCCAGGAAACTGATCTTTTGCTTCTGTGCTACAGACCCACCAAGGATATCCTCGTCTTCTCCTGCGGCAGACTAAAGATAAAAGGAATTTTGTCAGACTCTTGGTATTAATGATTTCTGAAAAGAACATGTCAGTAGGGTCGGTTAAAATAATTATATGTTATTTCGTATATAATGATCAATGAATATTTTAATCATCAATAATGATAATTGAATGACTACAGTAATTAATATTCTGTCGGTATTTTATACCAATTTAATGTTCAATATTTATTTTCTTAAAACCTTTGAAAGTAAATTACATAAATAACAAAAAGGCATAATACCGTGACTGGAACAATACACAAATAACCCGCACATAGGAGAAAGAAACTTGTGACGACGTTTCGGTCCGACCTGGACCATTACCTAGCAACACACTAACACACGAAGGTAAGGGAGTCGGTGTATATATATAGGAGAGCAGGGACGGGGCAGAGAGAAGAGGAAGTAAGAAGTGGAGATAGCAGTGGTAGGCAATAGTAGTAGAAGTAGCAGTGGTAATAGTGGAGGAAGTCTAAGGACAAGAAAGAGGGCACTGCAGGATATATGGAAGGAAGGCGGGGTAGGGGTCGGCCTAGGAAAGGTTGGAGGGAGGGGGTAAAGGAGGTTTTGTGTGCGAGGGGCTTGGACTTCCAGCAGGCATGCGTGAGCATTTTTGATAGGAGTGAATGGATACAAATGGTTTTTAATACTTGACGTGCTGTTGGAGTGTGAGCAAAGTAACATTTATGAAGGGGTTCAGGGAAACCGGCAGGCCGGACTTGAGTCCTGGAGATGGGAAGTACAGTGCCTGCACTCTGAAGGAGGGGTGTTAATGTTGCAGTTTAAACTGTAGTGTGAAGCACCCTTCTGGCAAGACAGTGATGGAGTGAATGATGGTGAAAGTTTTTCTTTTTCGGGCCACCCTGCCTTGGTGAGAATCGGCCAGTGTGATAATAATAATAATAATAATATAATAATAATAATATATATATATATATATATATATATATATATATATATATATATATATATATATATATATATATATATATATATATATTCAGGGAGAAGGCTTACAGCTTTTCATCTCATCCCTTGCATGCATCAGCCTTAGTAGAGATTTTAACAATGCAAGGAATTCGCAAGAGCAGGCGAAATATACACAAACACTGATCTCTGGCTGAAGGAGACTCGAACCTACGAACCTTGGAACAAACAACGCAGTGCTATACCATTATCACCACACTGGACAATACCTTGGCGTCCAGCTTGCGCTAGACGTTGATCCAAAGCAGCCAGCTTTCAGGGAGAAGGTTGATGCATGCAGGGGATGAGATGAAAAGCTGTAAGCCTTCTCCCTGAAAGCTGGCTGCTTTGGATCAACGTCTAGCGCAAGCTGGACGCCAAGGTATTGTCCAGTGTGGTGAGAATGGTATAGCACTGCGTACCTTGTTCCAAGGTTCGAGTCTCCTTCAGCCAGAGATCAGTGTTTGTGTATATTTCGCGTGCTCTTGCGAATTCCTTGCATTGTTAAAATCTTTAGTAAGGCTGATGCATGCAGGGGAAGAATGAATATATATATATATATATATATATATATATATATATATATATATATATAATATATATATATATATATATATATATATATATATCTCCTTAGCATTTTAAATCTTAAAATTTTATTTTAAGATTTAAAATGATGAATTTTATTGAAAGTTATTTTCTTAATTTTAAGTTTTAATACTCATACTGCCATAACAAATAAAAGTAACAATACAGTGGCTGGAACAAATCACAAAAAAAAAACCCGAACTCAATTGTGACCTGACAATGGTGGTAGGTTTTTTCCTTCACTATGTGCCGGTTATTTGTGAATTCATAACAAATATAACAATTAGATCACCGAAAAATTTGCCTTTCTTACCCTCCCCCCAATCCACTAGAGTTCCCAAATAAAAGGGAAAAGTAACGCTTTGAATTTTGGGGAGACTTTTTATTTTTTTCTTATGCTATAAGAAGGATGCCAAGAATAAGAGAAGGGAGGATCGGGTAGGTAAGAGCAGTGATAAAGATTCTTACATTATTTCCCATATAACCAAGTGTGGTTGCCTTATGAGGCAGTGGTTTTATTGTTACAAACTTACGAGTTTTTTTCTTTTCCTGAATAAGTTTCCATGTTTTTTTTATTCTACAATGGATGAAATATACGAACGTAACTTAACCTTCCTAAACTTTAAATAGCTTATATTGCCCACATTTTTTTTTTTTTTTTTTTAAGAATTTTCACAATACTTTATAATTTTCCTTGGGGTTGTGACCTTGTAAGTGGCCTAAATATTCTTAAATTTGAGTTTTTAAAAAAATTACTGTCCAATTTTACTAACATTTTATATTTCCCTAACATTGGATCTTCCTCAAATTTAAATTTCAGTAGCAATACAATACGCATTTTTTAGTTTATTAAATATATTTTTCTCTTAATACTTTTTATTTTTATTACAGGGAAGCAAAACACCTTTAAATGTTTTAAATTCTAAATGAAATGCCAGTCACATTTATTTAGAGTTCACTTTTACAGCGTAACTTTGCATTAGTTCATAATCTATTATCACAATATTTTCAAAGACTCTTGGGCTGCATCACCCCTGGAAGATCCATCAACTACTTACAAAATATGCAGTCGGATCATATAATTCAGTAATACCCCTTCGCCAGCACCAAGGTTACCAGAGAGAAACTTGATTTAAGACTAAATAAATGAAATACTTTCCTGACCATAACCTGAGTTACGAAGCTTCTCTTTAAACACGCCTCTGATGATGACATCAGTAATGAAATGTACACGTAGCAAAACAAGTTTTAATTGAGACAACTTTCCCCTCTGAGTAGAGCGGAAAGTTGTCTGAAGTCAGTACAATAAAAGTTTTGTTCTGCTTCATGTATATCTTCATTTCTGTTGGCAGTACGACCGTTGGAAAAATAAATTTTCTGTACTGACCCTCCTGACTCTGGCCTGCAAATCTTGAACGAAGAGTTTCCTCAAGTTGTGCAGCGTCTGGAGCTCCTTGGCCACAGTGTCCTCGAGGCCTTTAAGATCATGGTGTGCCTGTTCTCGGCGGTCATTCAGGAGGCTGTGGCACAACATGTCATTTGTTAGTACATAGGAAATATATATATAATATACAACTAATTCCGTAGAATGCTTTTTCCTCAAGTGTGTAAATTCATTTTAGAAAGTGAATATAAAGAAAAATATACACTTTAAACATCATTCATAATGCTATCTTAGATTTTAAATATCCATTTAGATAATAATATTTTTGGATATAACTAATTCTAAATACAAATCTCTCTCTCAAGATATATACATCGACAGGTGCATATATCTCGGTGTGTTTACAGAGCTTGACTTAATTCCTGTTTGAGAGATTAAGGTATTTTAGATAAAAATGTAAATTCCATCTTTATTAGCCACTCCAAACTATCTCTTCTCCCTTAAGGAGTTGATTCATAATAAATATTATGAAGACATTTATCTACTTTCATAATTAAGAAGTCTCGAGACAGTTACAATGTCTGCATTTGAACTGAAAAATACAATCATGAACTATTATTTTATGCCAAAAAAAAAAAAAAATCAGAAAATAATTGAATTTTTCAATCTATGTTAAGGGTTTTATATGAAAAATTTAATATTTGAAGAATAATTTCACATGCTTGTCTATCTACAAGCGAAACATTTGCTGTTTTTTCTAACTTAATTGCGACCAAAGTGTGAAGAATGAGAATTACATAAACAATTATATTTGTGGATGAGTTAAAGGAAGCAAACAAAAATGTGAGAAAAATGGCACAAGATAAAACTGGCAGCATGAGGAGAGAGCACTTAGTGCGTTCTGGTAATGTGGAGGTGAAGGACACGAAGCATTCTACTCTACCAGTGGTGCTGTACTTGTAGTGGACCTGAAGAACCAACAATGAAAAGGTAACACTGCTGCATTTCAAACATTGCTACATAGGGTAATTACAACTATATACAATATCTTTAATAGGAAATATAGATGCGTGATCGCTCTCTGATCCTAAATTATTGTATAACTAACGCATGACTATCCTATTCTATTGTAAATACATACATACCATACTGAAGTCAGCCAATAAATCGATAAAGATATGGTCACATTTTCAACTACAGTTTCACTAGTTGTTAAAGCCTATTAGTACCTTAAAAGTTTTCGCTCCGACACAGCTGAAGTAACTATTTGGTGGGGATTACAGTATTTTCACATTCGTAAACCCTTCAAGGAAGGTTCCTTGATGCTGGTGAGGCGCTCTTGATCCAGGGAATTTTATCTGTGCTCCAGTTCCCTGAATTAAACCTGAATACCTTCCACATCGCCCCTCAGGCGCTGTATAATCCTACGGGTTTAGCACTTCCCCTTGATTATAATAATAATAATAATCACATTCGTTAAGTTTAGCAAAGTAACCAGGATGAGCGGACATATTGGCAATAACGAAGAGTAAACAGTTTATCGTTAAATAATGAAACAATTATTATAGCTTCTGAAAAGTCAAAAATGGATGCTTTAAAGTACTTTGACGGTCATGATATACAGGAAGATGATATACGAAGGAAAGTTAAGGCTAATAACTTCGAAGATCCAAACGAAATTATAGTGATGTGATGAAGCACTGTTGTTACCAGCAGTGAATGACTCCACCAACATTGAACCATTTTTTTTTCATCATGTCTATATACATCGGTGCATATTAAGCTACAAAGACATGAATCCCCATAATAAACATACGTCCTGTCAAACCAAATTTACGTATATTTGTCATATATTGGGTAGACGTATAAACATGTGTAATAAACAGTCTGTCGGAACATTATATTGTCTTTCACTACCATACTGAAAATATAAGTAAACATGTCTGTAACTAAATTATTTGACAAGGATCCACTGACTAATACTGTAAATTACATTTTTTGTACACGTGTATTTCTTTTTGTTGAGTTGGTATGTGGAAAACTGATGGGAATATTGTTGTTAATGTAGGATAGACAATCAAACGTGTACCAAATTCATCAGAGGAATTTCATAGTTTATTCAGATTTCTGGATACGACTGATGCGGTGAAGACCAAAATGTACTCAACTATATTTTGTTTATTAAGATGTTTAGCGGTAGAATCAATTTTTGCTTTTAAGAAAGTCGTTTTGAGTATCCCTTGGAATGTTAGCTACAATATTAGGACAAACATCAAAACCCCTTAATTCACTTTTCAAGACTAACAACCAAAGTCAAATATGAAGTCAGCTCATGAAGCTCCCTCTTCTTTCACTCAAGGTGAGCTGGCCTTCCAGGGGTAATATTTAAAGTTAAGTGTGGAGAAGCAAGAGTAGCGGTATCACTACCAAACTAACATTTATGCTGCTCGTGGTGATGTACACTCAGGCTTGAAGTCTGCTGCTCTCCTGGCTAGCCTGATGCCTGGGTTCTAATCTAGGCTATTTGCGGTAAGTTCTTTTTGCTTTGTAACTTCTTGTTTCAATGGATGCATTGATTGTATCACATAAAATGATCAGAGGTGAATTAAGCTGTTCATTTGAACTTGGCATTTGTTTGCGTATTTTGGGAGATATTAGCCACACAAATACTTCACCGATAGGAAGATTGTATCTAGTTAACTGATCACTGGCCCAATCAGTTTCTAGTTTTCATATTCAGAATTCTAATAATATTCTAAATTTATAAATAATGTAAGTCCCTCTAATGTTTACCGAGTGTAATTCATGTGAACTTACTAGGTTTTACAATACTGAGAAACTTTACTGAACAAGACAACTGTTTTAAAAAACACGGAGTTTTTCTTTTATTAATAACGCGAGCAGCACTGCAGACTATGTATTAATGAGGTAAGGTTACGTTTAGGTTTATTTAGGTTAGGTTTAAGTTGGGCTTAGTTCGGCTGGGTTCAATTACGTTAGGTTAGGTTGAATTGAGCTGGGTTGGGTTATGTTAGAACTCAACCAAAATTATCTTTAACACCAAAAAAAAATTTTTTTTTAATAACTTACACACACACACACACACACACACAAACCATACCCCGGCCGGGATTGAACCCGCGGTCAGAGAGTCTCAAAACTCCAGACCGTCGCGTTAGCCACTAGACCAGCTAGCCACAATAAGATTCGTCCAACTAGGTATATTTCTACACCATAGGAAGGTTAGCATAGGCACCACTGTGACCACAAATGCAAGTTTTTACAGACGAATCTCCAGCTAGCGTGGCCGTGACGAACTCTAGCTGAAGTCCCCTCACTGCCGTCAACATGACTCACGAAATCGTAATGACACGATTGCAAACAAACCATACCCCGGCCGGGATTGAACCCGCGGTCAAGAGTCTCAAAACTCCAGACCGTCGCGTTAGACGGCAGTGAGGGGACTTGAGCTAGAGTTCGTCACGGCCACGCTAGCTGGAGATTCGTCTGTAAAAACTTGCATTTGTGGTCACAGTGGTGCCTATGCTAACCTTCCTATGGTGTAGAAATATACCTAGTTGGACGAATCTTATTGTGGCTAGCTGGTCCAGTGGCTAACGCGACGGTCTGGAGTTTTGAGACTCTCTGACCGCAGGTTCAATCCCGGCCGGGGTATGGTTTGTTTGCAATCGTGTCATTACGATTTCGTGAGTCTCACACACACAAATATCAGAAATTGCTTAATATTGTACACTGTAAACTATAAAATATTGCACGTTGTAAAATATCACCGACCTTTACAGACAGCTAATCTCAATATTAGCCCATATTTAAGTAAATAAATGAACGACGGCGAATGTGTTCTCTATTAACTGAGTCGCCCAACCTCGGTGAAAAACGGACGGTGAGTTAAATATAAAATTATTGACCTGTTACAAATGTCTCTGGTAGTGAGTTCACTGTCTGACACGGAACAACTTGTTCAGTGTCCAAATAGATATGGTCGTTCCCTAACTACACTTTGCAGCAGCCTCATGACTGCGCCTGCGGCAGTGCTTGATCACACTGGTACTGTTGTCAGGTGGGTACTCAGCAGGTCACCTGGATTCAATAATTAGGGGTCAGTGTATCAGCACACTAACACACAACTACTGGATCTAAATGAATTACCGCTTGCAGTAGTGAACAAAAGACACCCCGAAGAACAAGCTTTTATTTTATTTAGGTGGTGGAGTAGCGATGTATGTCAGAGACAATTTAAATTGTTGTGTTAGACAAGATATTAAATTAGAAGCGTCAGCCACTGAATCTGTTTGGTTACAGCTTCTCGAGGGCCGAGAAAAACTAATTTTGGGTGTGATTTACAGGGCCCCAAATCTTGATAGGGAGTGCAGTAAACTTCTATGGGACGAAATTCGTAAGGCATCTACATACGAAAATGTTGTGCTAATGGGAGATTTCAACTATAGACAGATTGACTGGAGCAATTTGACAGGAAATTTAGAGTCGGGTGACTTTCTTGATACGATCCAGGATTGCTTTTTAAAACAGTTTGTGACAGAGCCAACTGGGGGAAAAATAACCTCCTTGACTTGGTTCTTGCCAGTAGGGAAACACTAATTAATAATCTTGAGGTTAATGATGGCATTTGGGGAGAGTGATCACAAATCACTCAGTTTTAACATATCATGGAATTCCCCTAATAATGGCAATCTAGTCTCCGTCCCTGACTTTCGCTTGGCTGATTTCATAGGACTGAAAAATTACTTAGGTGGGCTGAACTGGAATTACCTGATACTAAGGGTCAGGTAGGTGGTGATGGTGCCGATATGATGCTTTCCAGGGCATAGTTCTAGCTGCTCAGTCAAATTATGTTCCAAATAGGGAAATCAGATCAAACAAATTGATCCTAAATGGATGAACAATAGATTAAAATAATCTGATTGGTCAAAAGAGAGGCATATATAGGCAAATCAAAAGAGGAGAGGGGCAATTAAAGAAATCGTTTATATTCAGTTAAAGAGAGAAATAAAAAAGGGAATTAGAAAAGCAAAAAGAGATTATAGTTAAAGTTGCAAGAGAATCGAAGACTAACCAAAAGGATTCTTTCAGGTATACAGAAGTAAGATCAGGGAC